CAGGAGGAGATCGTGCTGGAATTTCTCACTGTGATGTTGTCATATATTTAATCGCAGGTTTCTTCTAGATCATTGTTTAGAGATGAATGCTTTCTTTAGTTTGGCTTCATTTCAGGTGTACTGTGCAACGACCTGTATATTTGATACATAGACACACTCATAAAACATCTTGTACAGAATAGCTTGTGTCTGATCTGTGATTAGTTGCGTGTGTAAATCTGGATTGAAAAGATTATTCCAGGAATCACTGCTTCATTTTTAAGGTCCAAAATATTCATGCTTGGTCTGTTGATTTGATTGGATTATTACAGAATATGTTTTGGTCCAACAGTCACAATGTTTGGCATTGAAGCAAACAGATGTTATGCTACAATTGAAAATTTAAAAAAAACAACATAGTTTTTCTTTAATTAGTCTGTTTTCATGTCCCTAATCAGTGTTTTTCCCCATGCAGTTCCTCATCACATTAGATGACAACAAAAGAACGGAAAAGAAAATGAAAAAGTCTGGCCTAAAACTCTCTGGAAATATGCCACGAGGTTTTTTGCTGGAACATCATCTGCATCTAATTTATTGAGATTGAAAGTTTCCAGGAGCTGCAGCGAGAGCCAAGAAAAGCTGATCTTCATTAACATCTGGAGTAAAATGTCTTAAGTAAACATTAAATCACAGCGGTTTGGAGACGAGACAGCAGACCGGTCCGGTTGGCCGTTCTACTGCCCTTCAATCAAAACAAAAAGAAAAGAAAGAAAAAAGGATTAAAAACATATTATTGCTGCTGTCATGTAAAACCAAAAACTAATTTCACACCACAGTAGATACGTGCTGGAGAAGGTGAAGAGAGAATTTAACACATACTCCACCAAGTTTACACATTTTGTTGAAGTTAATGATATTTTAATACCTGAGTCTGATTGATGCTACTTGCTGTGGTAATCACAAACTCTCACTTGATACAAAATCCTTTTTCATGTATTAATAATTTGAAAGCATGACACATTTAATTATGAATACTCCACACCCCATTGATTTTAGAAAAGTTAAAATAATGATTATTAAACGTAAAGGTAAATCTTTGCCCAAAAAACAACCCAAAACAACTTTGTCCAGAAGCCTTTTATCCTGGAGATTGAGCCGTTCTAACTGGAGGAAAACATTAAGTGTTTACTCTTTCTCGACTGACTACTTGACAGGACTTGTTATTTTAAACAATGCAAGTCTGGGTCCAACCTCTGACCCAGTTTTACCTCAGCAGACACAGCTTACTGTATGATTTGTATGATTTAACTCAGGACATACTGTATGCCGAGCTGATCTGCATTGTTTAACATAATGGTTCTTAAGCCAGGTATTCAATCCATAGAGATGAAATAACTGAAGTTTTTTTTGTTTTTTTTCTTAAGCCAGGTATTCAATCCATAGAAATGAAATAACTGAAAAAAAAGTTTTGGTTTTTTTTAGAACTGCAGAACCTCCACCCTCGAAGCGCTCACTTAGGAAATCTCAAATAAGTTCAATTTTATTTACTGAGAATGTGCAGTACAGATCTGCTAGAAAAGTTATGACATGTTGAATTACTGCAAACCAAAAATAAATAGTTTAAATTAAATGCAAAAAAAAAGAGATGGCTCAAGTGAGAGGCCATAATTTTTTTCCGATTGATGAGCATTAACTTTTGATAATGTTGGCTTACCCAGCTTTTGGAAAACTCAGCCATTACCGTGACAACATCTAAAGAGTTTGTATTGAATAAAGATATAGATGGGAAACATCTGTGCAGCCTGAACTGATTTAAATATGGAGACACTGTTGTCAAAAACAGTCCAAATGAGAACAGAGAAGGTTTCCCAAGAAAAATCAGTTCCAGACAAGGGAAGAACTCCACACAGAAAAGTGATATCACACACACACACACACACAGTATACGTTGATATTTAGGCCTTTGATACTCCAGGGGTTTTAAGGTGTTATAAAATGGATATAATATGATATAATATTCCCTAAATATTCACAGAACACAGGATCCTTTGAGGATCAGATCACTTCAAACTGAAATATAAATGTGCAAGTACAAACAGAGAGAGTAAATGAGGGAGGGGAGTTCCCTCCCCCACCCTGACGCCCCCATCTGGTTGCAGTTTCTGCTTCTCTGATCACAGAGATACTTCTTTAAAGACAACCTGCAGGAGAACACACTAAGGTGTGTGTGTGTGTGTGTGCATGGCCATTCCTACTCCTGTATTTTTTACTTTAGCTGTGTCACATTATTGTCTGCAGAAGGAAATTACAATCACCATCAACGATAAGTGTGGTTTTTTTTTTTTACTCTAATGAATTTTTCTTCCTAAAGCTGCTCTGTCCGTCTGCTGAGGCCTGCAGCAAGTTGATTACCTCCACTGACCTCTGAGACCCCCACAGGTCAGGGGGATGCACCACCAGAGGGTGTTACATTACAGGTGCCTCAGGCCCTGGTCCACCTTGGTGACACGTGCACCTGACAGGAGTCAAGTTTCACCTTAAATCTTATTTATTTACTCTGATTACTGGTAACTCTATCTCCTCTTTCATCCGGGGCTTCATGTCGTCCTCATGACCTTTGGTGTCCAGGTTGTTCATCTGCCTTCTTTGACGGATTGTCTTTATAAATAACTCCAAGTTTTCCTCCTTGACCGTTCATTTATTCCCCTCAACCAAGATCTCCCGGTTTTACAGTTCTCGTTATTTGTTTCCTAGTTTTTTCTCTTCAGTTCTTTGTCTTAAAATGTACCTCTCCGGTCTTTGTCGCCCAATTTGTTTCCAGGTTTTCCTTTTCCATCTTCTACAGGTTATACATCTTGTCTGGATGGTTTCAGCATTTCCTTCTGTCGATGCCAGTTCACGGCTTTTGTCCTCCTGGCATTTCATTCTGAGTTGTTTTCTTGGTTCCTCCTGGTGACGGCTTCACTCTTAGAGTTCTTGGCACAGCTTTTTTCTTTTCCAGCCTTTCCCCCTGGGTCTGAAATGGATTCGACCTCCTGCTTTGTTCTTTTCTGTCCTTTTCCCTTCTGTTTATGCAGACTCACAAAAAGCCAAAGAAGAGCACAGGAGATTTATTGACAGTAGTAGACAAAAGCAGGAATTGCTTTAAAAATGTCCCTTTCAGGCTTGCCGTGTGTGTCCTCTGACTCCACCTCCGACTGAAATCGAACCCGCAGATATCTGGGTCTCTCTGGTAGTTTTCATCAAACACCAGGTGTCACTTTTAACATTAGAATCAAGTTAAACATCTGTTCTGTTTCCACGGAGAAGGTGAGAAAGTAGAAAAGCGCGAATGACTGAATCGCTAATTTTTGAATTCTAAACATGCAGGGCTTTAACATTTCTGCCTTTCTTCACTATTTTAATCTTTATTTATTTCAAATGGTCTCAGTGAGACATGAGATTCCATTTGAAGAAAACCCTGTTTCAGACATACAACAACTATTATTTGTAGTCAAACAGAAACGGCACCTCGGTACATACTGCAAGTGTCGTACAGTGTGTACTCTTAACAAACTGAAAATCCCATAAAACACTCAAACTGGTTGGCTATAAGGATTCACGTTTCTATTTTTAGTAGTTTAAAAGCAAACAACTGGGCTATTTTTCTAGTTAGTCCTGAGGTTCATTTTTGTTCCACATAAAATTTACAGCAGAATAAAACTGGGAAAGCTCTTTAATGAGCTCCTAGGTTTTTATTATTCATGTGAGTTCTCACATTGATTTTCTTTCAGCTCGTGCATCTTTATTTTCCAAATGAGACACAGCAGAAACTGCGGCAGCCGCAGAGCCGGGCCAAATACGCTGCATCAGGTTTTCCTGCCATCAATAATGTTTTTTTAAGGCTGTAAATAAGAATTCAACCAGCAAATTGACCTTTGTTAACTGTTTACTCTCCAAAGATAACATGCAATTGAGAAAATCCATTAAGCGGCTAATGTCCTGCTGCCTTACTGTATGTGGTCATGTCTTGATGCTAAAGTAAATTGGAATTAAAGATTTTAAAACACACTTGAGCTGAATAATGGAAGAAAACGGTGTATGACCAAAGAAACAAGTTTTACACACATTTTACAGCTACAGTACAATGAACCTGACCTGAAGTCAGCAGCTCGCTTACAATTTTAACTCTGTCCAAGTGAAATATTCAAACAGCATAAATGTCTGTTTCTATATCAGCGGAGAAAATATTTAGCTGGAAAAAGTTTATTTTAACAAAAAATAAACAAGACAAATGTACTCAAGACTTTTGCCTCATTAGATGCAAAAGAACTAAAATATGATAAACCCTCTGAAAGATCTACTGATCAGTGGGATAAAGACAGCACTCAGGTTACTGGACCCTCTAAGTAGAGGTTAAATTTAAAAAGGATACTGGCAGGATAATTTTAGCTCCAGGAAGTAAATTCAAATTGATTTGCTATAAGTCAAGGCCCAGTCAAACACCACTTAACTGTGTGTGTGTGAGTCAGGGTCAAAAGTACAGAGTGATCGAGGTAATGAAAAGAAAACAAGCAGTGACTTCAGCCACAGGGGACCTGAGTGGACAGACACACACATCCATAGATTGTTAATGGATTTTTTTTTTTTACAGCCTCTCATTGTTCAGGATAGAGTTTCTCAATGAGGAGGCAGCTATCAAAGTGCACCGTGGGGAACATTGGACTTCACGTATTTTGTGTATGTATTTGTAAAACTACTGAAAGTTCTGCCTTGAAAAACCCCATCAGTACATTCTCACAAAATTGTAGTTTGTATTGTAGCGTAAATTAAGTAACATATAGAACTCCTCCATTTAAGGTTGATATGAATAAATGAAGAACATTAACATAAGAGTTGAAAACAGTGTTAACTCTAGTTAGTGTTTTGTGTGTGTGTGTGTGTGTTCAATATTAAGATTCGGCTAAACAGCCCATGACCTTAAGTGTTAGCTCCTCCTTCTTGGGTCTGGTGCCGACAAGCACTCCTCGTTGTTTCAGCCACACCAACAGAGTTGAAGAGTTCACTTTTGACAGCTTGAAAAAAAAAAAAAAAAAAAGGAACATGTATAAACAAAACATAAATAAAGAGAGAAAAGTGTTTTTAACCCCAGAGTAAACGCTACAGCCAAGGTAATGACCAACATGATACGAACAAAGAAGCAACAATTATGTCCAAAGTGCAACATTGCAACACATTGCAAAAAGGGTTGAAACAAATATGACAAATAATACCATTAGAGTTGGCCCCTAGTGGCCAATCGCTGCCTTCAACTCTTCCATTTTTCTTTTGTGCAAAATCTAATATTACGATGGTCAAGTAGGATTTTTCAATACTAACATTTACCACTAGGTGTTACTAAAACCTACATGCTGTTTTTGAGAATTTTGTCATCTTTGTTTATTTAGACTGAGGATGAAGTCCAGTGTGTGCTTATATGGGTTTTCATGAATTTGTGTCCTAACCTGATTGTTTCTGGCCATTTCCTCCACATCTACGTTTTGCATCTTTCCTCTAGAATTCTTCACCTGTAATTCAGATAAACAACAAGATATTAGAACATGTAAATCTGAGGAAATGTGTTTGTTTCTGATCATTTTGACACAGGAAAGTCAAAATGGTCCACACAGTGTGCCATTAATTAATATAATTTATAAAATATAATCTGATGCAGCAGCTACATGGCATGTATCCAGAGATCTTGACTGTTTTTTTAGCTCTAAGTGCAGCTGCATTACATTCCATCATCTCATCACATCCTGACAATGTGTAGGAAAGAGTTACACCCGCATGTAGGCGGACCACAGGGACGTCCAACACCCAGACGACTGACACAAATCAAATAGAACAACAGTAAAATACAAAACTAAAACAATTCAACAAACATAAAAAAACCCAGAATGAATATAAATATAATGATAATACAAATACCAAGTCTATGATACAATAATTAAACATTTAATACAAAGGCCCTGTATTTCAAGCTAATAGCATTGTTGCCCTGAAACAACCAACCATCTGATGGAAACAGACTCAGAGAGGCATGTGGTTTAGAATAGAACACGTTGGCACAAAACTTGTTTACTAGACCAAAGTCGTCTTTATTTCTTTTCATTTGGAATTTATTAGAAGTTTATATTGTGAAGCACTGGTAAGACGTAGATTTATTTCCATTGTGGACGCAGACAATAGTGTCTAACTCAATCATTCAACAGTGGAAATAAAAACCAGATCAGGGTTTTAGTATTCCTAAACCATACCACAGCAAGCTGACCTTTGGTTAAACTCAAGTGTTTATGGAGGTCTATAAAGTCTTAATTAATTTTCAGAGACTCACCCCACTGCTGGTAGCAGGTCTGCCTTTGATAGAGACATCAGACTCTGTCACAGTAAGAGGCAGAAGTTCTGTCGGTTCAGCTGGTGGCTGTGTTGTTACTGTTGTAGTTTGTTTGCAGCTGGAGTCAGAGACACCCTTTTTCTTTTTCCCCACAGTGGTAGAAGAGCAGGACTCTGTTGTTTTTCGCTTTATCTCCACAACTGGAGAGGTTAGAAGGTTGGATTTGGTCATGCAGGTGGGATTTAGGTTGATGCTGTGCTTGATTCTGGGCACAGGAGGTGTTGGATGAAAACCTGCAGGTGGAGGAGGAAGAACTGCACTGCTGCTGCTGCTTCTGCCGGAAACTTTCAGACAACGTTTGAATCGGGGAACAAATGGTGGAGGCAGCGGTGGACGGGGCAAGACGGACGAACAAGAGGAGAGAGCAGGAGCAGCAGTTAAAGATGATGAAGGACAAAAGGGAGATGTGTTTATTCTGATGGTTGGAAATGTTATTCTGGTCCTTTCCTGTCCTCCTCCTCCTCCTTTTTGCTGCTGCTCATTCTTCTTTTGGGCATGCAGCAGGGCAGGGTTGATGTGTTGTGATGGCTGTTTGGTCTTAGAGATGGAAACAGGTTTAGAAGTTGTATTGAAAGGAGGAACACGGGGGAGGACTGAGGTACAGGGAAAGGTGGGGGATGAAACAGGCCGGGAGACTGGGAGAGATGACATGGAGAGAAAAGAAGCAGGAGAAGAGGAGGACGATGACTTACAGCTGGGTGAGGGGGTGAGGAATGAAACTGGCCGGAAAAGGGGAAGAGAGGAGGAAGAGGAGTTGATGGATGAGGATGTTAGAGAAACACCTGGCTGGGAAAGTGGAAGGGATAAGGTGGAGTTTAAGGAGGAAGAGGAAATGCAAGAAGATGCTGAATCAGGAGTAGGTGATTCTGTAAAGGAGAAAAGTATTGTGAGGAGGAGGAGAATGTTATGATCTTCTCTGCAGCTTTGGCTTTGAGTTAGGTTGCTTACCCATAAGGCTCTGGGCTCTGTCCTGCTGTGAGGAGACCCAGGCTGACGGTTGTTCCCTTACAGGTTGAGGAAGAAAAGAGGGAGGGTGTTGAGAGAAAGCACGAGGCAAATGGGGGAGAAGTAGACAGGGCCTGGTGGCAGAGGTGGAGGTGAGGTTGATCTGTTGACTGTTGAGCAACTGAGGAAGAAAAAAAAGAAAAGTGAATGCACAGCATTTATGGTATACACCCATTCATCTGAATATATCTGCCCAACAATTACATTGTGGACACCCATTCATCTGAATATATCTGCCCATCTTTATGTACATATACATAGCCTTGATGACCTGCTGAAGTTTGAACCTGGCATCAGAAAAGTTTTTCAAGTTCAAGTTCATGTTCCCCAAAGTCTTAGGGGAACATGAACGTGATCTATTAATCTACTGGGTCTTCCTCAACAACAATTTCAATAATCCAATAAAGACAATAAAATCAAGTTAGGTGCTTTTTCATAACAATAAATCAAAACAGTGATGGGTCTACTGGTTTAAATTTCAAACTGCCTTCTCCACTCTGAGATTTAGTCATTCAATTTATCCTCAGAATAAACAGAGACAGATGAGTGTAGAGTCAGTCAATGTGCTTTTGTAAACGAGTTTTATACAGAATGAAAAAAAAACCTTAATAAAAGGTGGCTTGGCATGTATGTGTACTGAACTGTTGACTAAGTGGTTTAACAGAAATGACCTACAGTGAGGTGCAGCTGGAAAATAGTATATAAATCTGGGAATCAGATCAGCGAGGGCTGAACTAATCTCAGTGGATGTTGGAATTTTTTTTTCATCCTCTTTGGTTAATAAATTCACTGTGTGAATAAAAAACTGCTTCCTAACTCTGCATCTGCAGACTCTCCACCTGCCCTCGTACAGCACCACAGTCCACATTTTAACTGGAACTGGCAATAATTCACGTTTTTTTTTTCCACGCATATGGAGTTTAAAGTAGACCTGTGAGGGTGGTAACCTTCCAACACGACTGTGTATAACAATTGTCCTCTGAACGATTTGTACTGTTGACATGAATTCTCACGATGGTGAGAGGAAGACGTTGTGCACGGCAGCACTGCAGTCGTTAAAGTGTCAGTGGAGATTTTACAAGGAGGGAAGAGAAGTGATGGCTTGTTCCTCTGAGCTCAACCCAAGGCCCAACACATTTAAACATATGTGAACATGGTGTGTGACACACACATATATTGTTATATGCATATGTTTGGCCTTGGCTGTTCTGTTTTGTACTCAGCTTTTTCTTTCTGTATTTATATAAGTGCTGTCAAAATTAATTAACTTGCTAAGATCAGTAGGATTAAAACGTCTAATGCATTTTAAGACACGGAGAGAATCTGTGAATCACATGCACTGTTTATACAATAATTCCACTGTCCACCCCCTTTCCATTGCTCTAATGCACAGTTGATTTTTTAAAATATTTTCAGTTTTTTTCTACTTTAGTGCATAGCTACAACCCTTTAGATTCAACCATCTGCAACTTGTAACTTTTTCTTAAATACAGACAAACAGGATACCAGATTTGATCATTAGACTTGTATTCGCTCTGTTAGGGGAATCAAATTCAGGATAGCGTAGAGGACAACACAAAATACCATTTATACAGTATATGTGTGCATACAGGAGTAATTACCTGCACTGATGTAGCGGTGTTCAAACTAGTAGTGCAGTAACGGGGTTTCTTGCTCAGATGCACAGGGAAACCACACAGACTCTTCACTCGCTCCCTGAAATCAAAGACAAAGGAGTCTAGTGCCCCCTGCAGGTCGACACGAGGGCAGTGCTGCAATGACTCCAGACGGATACAGCTAAGAGGATACCTGTTCAGGAGTTAAAGAGACATTCAACACTTTTATCAAACTGTTATCCTTGTATTTGACTCGCACTCGAACCACTGTGGTGAACTGTCAGACTTAGGTGCAAATTTGGTATTGATTAATGTTTCCATGGGCTAATCAGTTATTGTTAGGTTTTATTTGGATACGTGAACAGCCTCTCTCCCACCAGCCGGAAGTAAACACTGCAGTACACCATCTCAGACTCTGGGAGTTCAGGAAGTCTATAACCATACTGAAAAAACACAACCCCAGGGATTTTTCAAGCATGAATGCACAACTAGCTGATTTGATTTAAAACATTCTGTACATAAAAGTCAAACATCACAAGAGTTAATGTTGTTGTTTTCTAAACTTTGGGATGTTCCTCTCTGTGTTTATGTAGGTCTGAGCTACCAGTTGGTTCCAGTGGTTCTGCAGGTCTCTGTAGCTCTTAAAGAGTCCGTTCTTGGGCAGTTGACGGCTGATGGTAATGATCTGTCCTTTCTTCATACTATTTATTTATTAATACACACATACACAAAGTTACGTGGTTAGTCTCTGCTGCAGACGTGGGCTCAACCTGAGCTACAGCCTCATCTGCTGGTCACACATTGAAACATCATTTATTATTTGTTTTAATGCCAAATGTCTCAGAGGTATTTTTTAACCTGGTCTGCACTGTATACAGCAATTGGTTTTCTCACCTGGGCAGGACGTGACACCACAGGGCTCCTCCTATGGAGGAGGGGTCCAGAATGCATTCAGGATCACTGTAAAACTTCCTCAGTACCAGAGGAGGGAGGGCAAAGTCCTCAAGCTACAAACAGCCACAAATATCATCAGCTTCACAGCTTTGATTGTGTGTTTATTTCACACGTTTGAAGTTGATTATGATTTGAAATTATTAGGTGTTATCTCACTTTAGTTGGGGGGATTCTGACAGTGTTGACTTTAATACTGATACACAGCTGTCCCTCACTGATACTGAGCTCCAGACCTGACAAAGACATACATACAAACAAACCCACCGTATATTGTCTGTTACATAATGTCCCCTCTATTCTTAGCTTCACACAGTAGCCCAGCACAACAAATAAGGTCACAGAGACTGAAGTCAAGCAGTGAAGAATGGGTTAGCTGCTCTATTTCAGTATAAATCACCTATTAGTTTGGATTTGTAAATTTGTGACTCTGGTAAATAAATATTGATTCACCTCAGTGCCAAAAACTGACCACATGAGGCTGCAGTGGACGAGCAGCTTCTGTGACTCTGTGAGCTAATGTCTTGAATTTTCTAGTGTTCTGTGTGTGTGACATCCAGCAGCATTCACTTTACTTGTATTATCCAATAACTACTAGCAGAGAAGAACAGGGAGTTATTAACTAACCTAACCCAAAACTGTATTACAACATTTAGAAACGCCCAATATATTCTTTCTGCTAATGTCCTTTTAGGACATTAGCAGAAGATTAGAACACAGATTGTTTCAGATTTGACAGTCAGACTCACCAACAGCATTTAGTTTTCCCTTCTCTATCAGAAAATCTTTACCTGAGAAAAGACAGGACAAACACTTTTACATGTTTCAGAAAATCTTTACCTGAGAAAAGACATAGGACAAACACTTTTACATGTTGCATTAGCAAAAGTGCAAAGATAAATGTGTTGACAGGAACTGAAACAATAATTCTGCCTAAAAAATGTTTGTCATTAACCACTTGATTCTCAAATGTAAGTGATTTATCCTTCACTTATTAACTTATCTTAACTACTGTTGCTATGTTTTTTTTTATCAAATTGGGTCCAGGGTTAAGGTGTCTACAGGTTGCAACACACTCAGGTGTCTCTTTGAACGAGGACAAACACACTGGGTTATAGCAGGTTGGACTTTGAAGTTAAGTTGTTTTAAAGTACTGTCACTGCAACCGTCACAGCCTATAAATAATTTACACTCCACATGTGAATGATTGGTACGTTTGCTGTTGCTATTTAGTTAATTGAAAAGGAGATTGGCAGTTATTTGTCAGTTTGTTCAAGATTAGTCAGATAATCTGATAATTAGTCTGATAATCAATATATATCAATATTGTTTTAATACAAATAAAATAACTGACGTATTTTTCACACCAACCACTGAACTTACAAATAATACCAATAATCATCCCTGGCATCTGTGTTAAACAGATTTTGATTAAGCCTCATTAGATACAGTTTCAGAAAGGTTCATACGTCTGCGTGTTAGTCTGCAGAGAGGATACACGTACCACAGATGAGGTACTGTCCTGCTTTGTTCCATCTAGGACTCAGTCTGGTGATGAGAGAATAGGACACACAACACTGGAGGACCCCTGGAAACACATGCTGAGGAGAACCCAACTACACACAGAGTAGAGGATAGAGGAAAAGAAAAGGAGAAGTGAGAGAGAAACTTCAACCAGAAACATGAACAGAAGATGACACGAGCTGAGAATTGCGACATTTTTTAAGCCTGTATATAAAGGGCACAGTGACTAGGTAATAACAAAAGCTACAACCATTTTTCTCAAACTAATGCATGTCAGACACTACTCATAACATGTTTTTGTCATGTGTCACCACACCTGTAGATGGCGCCTTTGTGCAAATGCCTGCAGGAATCCTTTTTGGAAAAAAGAGATCTAAAGAAAACAATGATAACTTTACAGAATAACTTTATCTATGTTTCGAGTTAATACAAGAACATAAATAGGTGATATAAATAAACACTCCCCAAAACACGCATCCCTATCATTTTAATGTTGCTATTATTCAAATAATTGAAAAGGGAGATGCAAATGGTCAGACAGTCTTTCTTATCTTCATGGATTCTTTCTGTATAGTGTTACTTGCTCATTACCTTTATTTATGTCTTCTGTATAGTGTTACTTGCTCATTACCATTTATGTACTAATATATAAACTTTCCACCTTTTCACCTGGTGAAACACCATTTGCATTTTATTTGGTTATGCTTTCTTATCTCTTATTTTCCCAGGAACAGGGGTTACATGTTTGCATCTATAGGAAATAATGTGAGAGTAGTTTTAGTTTGTCTTTATTGTATGTAATCAGTCTAATCCTTGTTAAATAAACCACAAGGGGAAAAAACACAAATAACAATGTAAAAATGTGTGTCTTACTGCCATAACTACAGTGATGTCAGTGAAGGACCCCAGAAGAGGAGAGGCTAAGATGTCAGAATACAATAGCACCAGCTCTCTGTGGATACAAACACAAACATGAGGTTATAGCTCTACCACGATGTCAAATATAAACACGTGTCCTTCTCTAAACAAACTGCTGCATATTCACAATTACATAAAGAATGTTTGTTTATTGTATTATCATAACAGTTGTTCACAGTTATGTTTGCAAAATAATGCATGTTTTTATAATGTAAATTGAGATTTACATTACATTTACAAAATATATGTATAAATGATTTTTGGACATGATCTTATTCTAGAAAATCTATGAAGATGCTTACCTACAGGTCTTTATCTGTTTGCTCCTTGGTTCTTCCTCTGTTTCCCCAAGACTTACAGTAACACAGACCAGCTTTTCCACATCTGGAAGATTAAGGAAAAACAGGGACTGTGCAATATGTGTGCTCATTCTGCACAAGGAGAAAGAAAAAACAAATAACCATAATGCAGTTAAATATGCATTGCAAAGCATATGCTATTAAATATTTTTAAAGAATATAATTTCTACATTTGCTTCAGTAAATACAAATTACATTTACAATACTGAGAAAATGTCTGTGCTCTTGGAAGTGTACCAATTACATTCCTTATTTAACCAAGTACTGTAATCACACACATAAGCCATTGCTTTGACTGTGGGTAAGATTTAAGTACATAATAATTCACTCAGGCTGACCATCCTCGTGTGTATAAATTCCCTCTAATATACCTTTTTGTGTAGGTTAATGCTTCCTAAATAAAAAAACCTCCAAGCTGTGGGTCCACAGACAGGACAAATAAAAATATACTATATATAAAGGCATAGCATTAAAGTTAACTTACTAAAATGTATTAAAATAATTAACATAGAAAACATATTCATTACCACATCGTCGAATATATGCAGGTATTTATTTATCAGTGAAGAGATGTTTCTACATTGAGCGATTAGAAAAAGCTAACCAAAATGGCCGCCTGAGTTAGACGAACAACAACCCACTCTTGGTATGAATATAAAACATTTGAATATGTTGTCCTTACACAACATGAGGACAACAAAAAGTTTCATTTATTACTGCCAACCGAAATGTGACAAAACATAAAATTCAAAAACATACGAGATGTATTTAAAATTGCGTCTTAACGTTCACCTCCATTGGCAGCTGCCAGATCAGATTTCACAATATTGTCAAGTCAATAACCTTCTTTTACGAAATTGTTCGTAATTAAGTAAGTGTAATTAAGTCAGTAAATACAATCATACTATGGACTCAATTCCTGCATTCTTTTTGTAGTGACACATGATACATGGTTTCGCAATTTCTGTATTTTTGGGAGGGGAAAGTCGAAACAATGTCTTTTTAATTGTAACACAATACTTTTTTACGTTTAACCTGATATTTATGTTGACGTGGGAAAACTTCCGCTGAGGCCAGAACCCGTGACGGACGTGAATCAAACAGTCCCCTTCGCGTGCGAAGCCTGTTTCCTTGAAAACTGTTGAACTGGAATAAACTTCAGCCTAGTCTCAGTCCGAGATACAGCGCTACTTGTTGATCGACAGCGCCGAGAACTAATCAGAGTCGTTGGGGAGGATCTCGACGAATAGTAACTCTACAACGGGGCGGTGACCTTTAGCAAGAGAGACAAGAGAGAGTTTACTTTTACAAAGAGCAGCAAGATAAAACGCGTTCTGGTTGGAAATGTGTTTACATCCTTTCAAAATAATAGCCCGACGAACTTATTAATCATAAAGCAAGGTCAACGTGTTATTGACTCGAAAAAGTAAACTAGCAAATCACTTCTGTAACCAAAATTGTTTTGATGCGAGTCCCCATTATTTTCGACGTGTATGTCTTAATTTAAAATATAAGCAATATAAAAGTAGGGTTTGAATAAAACAGACTATAATCAGGCTTTATGTGAACGATAAAACCTATAAACACAATTTGCATTTGTGTAATTGTTTTTGTATATCATGCAGATACACGCAACTTTTACTTGTTAGGCTAAAACCGGAAATGTGTTGTTGTATACATCTGCAATAGTTATGGGCGAGGACATTTAAAGACTTTACTCTTACAGACCTGATAGCAGAAACTAGGGTAAAAGTTGTTTATGCGCAATCACTGGCGATTCACGCACGGGGGGTTATATAACGCCACGGTCGCATCCTGATACACACACATACCCTGACACAGATGGGTGAAAATGTGGAGAAGAGTCCGGAAGGTCTCCGGTACTACAGACTGTCGGAGATCGAGGAGCAGAACTCGTTCAGATTAACGTGGTTTGTTATTCACCACAAAGTTTACGATGTCACCAAGTTTCTGGAGGAGGTGAGCAAAAACCTGAACAAAGCATATTCTTTAACATGTATATTTTAACCACTGCATATTTTCCTAGTATTCATACTAACGTTTTGGTCAGAGTGAAAATGTTAGACAAGACATATTAGACAAGACTAGGATAAAACCTTGAGTTATTAACTTTTTATCAACTTGAACTGTACTTTGCTTTTATAGTTTTTACCTAAAATCTATCACTTTTGGTTGTGATAGAAAATCCTTAAACAGAACTCAGCAAATCAATGCTCAAGGTTTGGTAAACTGTCACAATTATTTATAAAGTTAAAACATACATACATATATATATATGCAACAATACTTGTATAATCAATTGATTCACTTATTGTGTCATCCTGTGTGGAAAATTCAAGTGTTCTCCTGCCGCAGCTATAGATTCAGATTATTTATTTGTTTTTTTCTGTGCTCTCTTCAAAATTTAATGAGCTGGAATTGTTTGAGGATTCAGATGTTTAAATATGAGTAGCTGGATTTTATTACTTAATGAAAAGATAATTTCTATCTGAACTATAATTACATGAATTAACACTATTTTTGTTTGCATGCAGACAACGTGTTCAACTGCTCATGTAAACAAAAAATATGACCAATCTTTGGATGTAAACAAAAAATAAGACCAATCTTTGGGGTCATGTAAGGTCACTGTAGTAAATCAGACGTTCTGGGGAGAATCGTGACACTTTTGCTCTATATTTGGTTTGACATGTCAGCTTTATGACAACACCACATTGCCAAATAAGAATTATAAATCTGATTAAAATTGTTGTTGTTATTGATAATTACTTTATTACATTTATTAGAGATCTTAACTGTCACAAAACATCAAGTACTTGCATATTTAATTTGTAAGATTTCTATTAAGAATAACATTAACTAAACAGATGTTATTAATGCTGTGTAAATGTGTATCCCAGTGTGGGATCAATCATGTTTAATCTAATCTCTAAATATAGTCAAACATGATACAAAAGAGTGTTGTAATGGTGACATAGTAATGATAATGTGTGTTTCTTTTTCTCTGTGTGTGTGTGTCACAGCACCCTGGAGGAGAGGAGGTGTTGAGGGAGCAGGCTGGAGGAAATGCCACTGAGAGTTTCGAGGATGTGGGACATTCCAGTGACGCCCGAGAGATGGCCAGCACGATGGTGATCGGAGAGCTACACCCGGTCAGTCTGCTTTTGTGTTATGTGTTTGTGTGTGCGTATATGTGTAACATATATTCAAATTTAAAAGTCACATGTCTATGTGTGTCTTTGTTTGTTGTTAGGACGACAGAGCGGCTTTCGACAAACCTGTGGTGAGTTCAAGGTCGTGTGTTTTGTTGGTGCAGCTGCTTAAAAAGCTGTGTCATTGCAGTGATGTTGTCTTTTTTGCACAGGAATCTGTGGTGAGGACTGTAGAACAAGAGAACAGGTATTACACTAACACACTTTTTTTTATTGGTTAGCTTAACTGATCTCTGACTCCTGCACGTAGTGGTACAACTGGTTTTGTTGCACAAATATATAAGCAGTCAACTGATCATTTTTATCTTGTTAGAGGAGTTATTTTCTGTCATAGTCCTCTAGGAAGTTTGTTAACTTAAACAACTTTATAACTAAAGAATTAATCAGATGACCAATGAGTTGATTCTCCTGCAGCTGGTGGTCCAGCTTGGTGATCCCGTTCCTGTCGGCTGCCATCATCATGCTTGGATATCGCGTTTTTACTGCAGAGAGCGAGTGACATCATCAGCGAACCACGCTGCATTTCTGAAAAGGACTACAATTGACAGCTCTATGCCAACATGGTGGCTCCGCCCACTGTGTTTTGTGACCACTCACTAAATCTTTCCTAAATACACTGTATTTAGATCCATAGCCGAGTACAAGCGACCAATCAAGTCACATCGTAAAAAACAAAGTCATTGACATTGAATGTTGAATCAATGTATTTTCTACAAATGTACAATGTCTTTATCCAAACTGTATTTTTTACCTAAATGTTAATGAACATGTAAAGAAGTGACCACAAGTGACATCATAATGTCATTACACCACAGTCAAGTGACTTTAGACAAACTCATTTTTTCCATTCTTTTTATGTTGAGTTAATCTCCTGATGTCTGTGATTCTGAGTGCTTTTCTGAGGTGGCCTCAGATTAGGAGTTTCATCTTAGACCAGTTTAAGGAGAGCTGAGGAAAACCTGCATCTTATCAGAGAAGCTATTAAAGCAGCAGCAGCCACATCCCATCTCACACGAGGTAGAAAATGCTGATCTCTGCGTGTCCTAAGGGAAGTTTCCTCTGTTCATTTTAAGTCACATGATCTTTTTATTACCATGACTATGTTTTAATAATTAAGTTAATTTATAAAGAAATAAAAAAAAGTTTTCCTTGGTTCCTGTTTCTTTACACAAGTTTGGTACATTTAAATAATAAGCCTTGGGGTTTTCTAGCTACTTACTCTGCAATTTTTTCTTAAAATAATTTTACAATAAGTTTAAAAAATTGGAGTGAGAAGTTTTGTCAAGGGTTCCAAAAGGTCCAAGTGACCAGAATGGATGACTTACTCCAGTCTGGAACTGAATGTCAACTCAGAAGTTTCTTCTGAGAAATTCCTGTATATTTTCTCTACAGAAAGAAACTTGAACCCTTGATTCAAGGTCGCTCAAACAAACCATCGAGGCCAGGTCTAAGGTCAGGGGAACTTCTCATCTGTCAAATCGGGAGGAAACTGAGGGACTTCTCCCAGGAAGAATGGATCGAGATACCAGGAGAGACTGGTAGCAATTGTGCCATTGAAAGGCAGGTGCTGCCCCCTGTTGCTACAAACTGTATTTGCATCTGATTGTTCAGGGTTTTTTTTTTTTTTTTAATTCTCGATGTCCATTTTAAGAAACGTCACGGGGACGTTTTAGCGTGTTCATGATGTCACGTGCTTGTTTACTTTACACTTGACGTGACGCATTCGTGTTGGAGACACGAGGAGCAGCCGTGACGTCGTTGGCTCAGCAGTTTGTTTGCTCGGTCCTTGACCTTCAAAGAAATAACAGCAATAATAACAACATTACGTTTGTTATTTACAACAATAAGCAGTAAAACAATAGAATCTATCAAAGAAACGTATAAATAACGGCATGATCACCAGAAAATAACAACTTTAGTCACTTTTATATAAACCTCTAAATACAAACTTCGATTGTGTTACAGAACATTTTTATAGTAAATTCAATAATGGAAGAAAGTTGCTTCTTAATTTTAGTAAAGTCAATGTGTCACTCAGTGTGTACTACTACCAATAATAATAATAATAATAATAATAATAATAATATTACTCTCTCTCTATATTTATTTATATATACATACAGCTGTACGTGACACTGGTCGTGTATAAAATAAACTCTGTGACACGCGCACAGCTGACGCATGTGTTGCTTGTTACGTGACTATGCGCGTCTCCGTGGACGTGCACACGCTCACTCTCTATAGAAGGCTCCCCGCAGCGGAGGGACGCACACATGTCCCGTTCGGCACAGGTGCACAGTGGGGAAGCCGCCGCAGGGCTCTCCTTGGGCATGTACACGGAGAACGGCATGGAGGAGGCGCTGGAGGACGAAGAAGGAGAGGAGGAGGAAGAGGCGAGGGAGGAGGAGGAGGAGCAGGAAGAAGATGGAGACCTGGAGGATGAAGTGGACGCTTCTCGGTTAGAGAAGTTCATGAGAGACCGAAGGAGAGCGCAGTCTCTGCCAGCACTGCTCAGCTGCGGTGCCGGCGCCAGTGGCGAAAGGAAACGAGTAAAGTTCGCGGACTCCATGGGTCTGAACTTGGCCAGCGTCAAACACTTTAGCGCTCTGGAGGAGCCGCAGATTCCCACCAAAGTTCTGTCCCGACACCGGAGTCTCCCGTTGCCGTCCCAACACCAGGAGGCGCTGTTGTGTCAGAACTTCAGGTCCACTGTCAATTTGGACACCCACCGCCTGGTAACTTGCTTCCCGGAGCCGCGGGACACGGAGCTCAGAGTCCAGCAGCTGCGCGTCTGTCTGGAGAAGGTCTCCATCACACCCTTCGACGTGCGCGGACAAATCCGCGTGCTGTGTGACCGGGGCGCAGTCAGGGAGGTCGGGGTCAGGTACACCTTCAACGAATGGCTGTCCCATGTGGACGCGCAAGCCTTGCGCGTGTCCGCAGATGATGTCCGGGGCCTGCGGGGAGAGCGCTTCTCCTTCACCGTGTACACGCCACCATTTATGGACCGCAGCTGCGCAGTACATTTCGCCGTGTACCTGAAGAGCGAACAGGGGGAGTTCTGGGACAACAACCAGGGTCTGAACTACACGCTCCGGCACCGCAGTGTGCACGGCAACGCGCGTGACAAATATTATGCCTTCTGAGTATTCTCTAACGGGGGCGTAGAGCCTTTACGTCCGTGCGTAAAACCCTTAAGAATTCCGCACTCACGCCATGTGGTGTCGTGATCGGACTCCCCACGCCGTAGGGTTGTTGGTTCCAAACCTTTGACCTTACAGTCATCACTGTGTTTGTGTCACTGCTGCTGCTGGGATCAAAACAAAGATGCAAATGCAAATTGTGACCGTCCATATTAACGTTTATAGGTACAATTTATAACACATTGGCGAAATTTTATAATTATACTCAAGTGTTTTCGTTTTACATTTATCATGGTTTTAAAATAAAAGTTTTCTGAGCCTTAGAATTTGACTTTTCTATGAACTTCAGGGAAATGCTGACTTTGTCAAGACTTTCTTTTCTTGCCTTTGACAGTGAAAAGAAACAGGAGAATCGTTCTGGGTTCGACAGGTTGCTCTAATTCCATGGCTCACGAGAATCGTTCTGGGTTCGACAGGTTGCCCTAATTCCCTGGCTCACTTGAGACTTTTTATAAGTTCAGTGTTTTGAGGTTTTTATTCAGTTTTTTTCAAGGATTTGTTTTAATCAGCAGACCTGGAGTTTGTTCTGTACGTGAGCGTCACCACATCCCATCCCTGTGTGTCTGTCAGCGCTCTCTTTACATTAGGTGAGAAGTTCAGGAGTCCAATGCCTCTGGAAAAAAAAAAGTCGTATTGACAAACGTCTGTTTGTTCTGTCAACACCGTCTCTGGTTTAGAAAGATTTAAACGTCAGTGTGGCTGTTGCTGCAGCGACCCGGAGAGCAGGACACGTCACCAGAACATCCAGTTTCATTACAAAGACCAGGCTTAAACCCAGTGACCTGCTGCCCTGCTGTCAGTGTAATCAACTACACCCACAAAAAGAAGAAGCTGGAATCATTTGACGTGATAGTTTTAAAGTCACCATTCCATGAAAATACAGTAGAGCACAACACCTAGTTACAGTAGAAGGATTGTATCATCGGAGAAATAATGTGGCAAATACAACGTGTTTTTGTGTCAGATCTAGACCATAATAGTTCCACACAACCAACACCAACAGTCAGTTACAACTGAATCAGCAGCTGGTTCAATATTTCAGGAGAAGCAGCTGTGGGGAACAAGTTTTAAATATTCATATTACTGTTTAATGTTTTTTTTTGTTAGAGGCAGAAGAAACAAATGTAAATAATACACTGTATAATGAAGTTCTGAGATCTGACGGGCTGCCATTAGAACATTTTCAAGTAAAGTGGACGGCCTTTCTGAGGCCCTTTGACTGAATGAAATGTCCTTAGATCTCCATCTTCTAGACCGTCCCACTGAAGGACCTCAGTGTCTGTGTGTAAAAACAGCACAGTGGTGTTCAGCTGTGACAGACAGACGATTTCAAAAATGATTATCGTACAAATCATCACAGAACAGAGTCTCTGTGTTCTCTGTGATCTGAGAACATGGTCTAAAGTCTGCACAGTCTTTGAACCTGCAGGGAACACAGTCTGCAGACAACAGTCAGAGTCAGAAACAAAGAGATAAAAAAAAAAATCCTCTCCCTCCATTCATATGTGTGACTGAATGACTTGGTGCAGTTACAGGGTCCTTCAAACTCAGTCCTTTAGAAGAAATGAAGGATCCTGTTCACTGGAATGACATGCATTCATTTTCAAGATGCTTCATCAACAGTCGTTGGTAAAAAGCATCTCAAAGTGACAACTAATTGCATAATAAATGAACAAGGCAATGAAGAACGTGACTAACATTGATCCTGGTACAAACCCACAAACATATTCCTGAATTCCATTCATTCCCACTACGATAGATATTTAAAAAAAAAAAAAAGAAAGAAATCAGAGGAAGCTGATGGTGTTTGGATTTCCTCCATTTCACAACATTCAAGCCAACTTCCTGTTGGCTGCAGCCTGATGTCTGACCACCGTGGACGACATGTGGTCAGACTGTCTGATAGTGATAGTGCTTCTGGATTGGAGGTGACTTTTTAAATACGGTCACCGTGTCAGAGACCATAACTGGGACAAAAAGAAAAAAAAAGTGAATAATGTGTGTGTGCATGTGAGTTGAAGGTTTGGACTGATTGACCAACATGATCGTGGACATGGTGTTTTTGTGTAAGTGGGTCACGGAGCTCATCTCTGAGCAAACACAGAAGTTTATTTTTAGAAACGGGTAAAATCTTGCAGGTCAGTCAACCTTCACCACCAAAGAAACCAAACCCACCTCTGACCTCGGCTTGTCTGCTTGTAATCACACTCACGCCGTCAGTGAGTGTTTCCTTATCCATACATACACACACGCCCACTCCGACACACACACACAAATATACACAAACAGTCAGTCACAGAAACTCAGGAAATAAACCTCTTTATTTGAGGCGTGTGAATGACCATTTCAAACATGTTGGACTAAATGTGCATTACGATAAAATTGACAAGATGTCTGACAACTAGATGAGATTGAGATTGAATATTAATAATAGAAATTTGACAAAAATTAATTACGTGGCTCTCTACAGATGGCGCTGCAGACACACCAGAGGCTAACACCTCATTATCCTAATCAGTTTTTTGGCAGACAGTAAACTCAGTGATGTTATATTAGTGACCATCATCACTGACCTGTCGCTGCCTCCAGTAGAAAGTTAAAACATGATATTTCTCTGGCTTTGGCATCAGATTTACCATAAATGACCACAAGGGGCAGCAGCAGACCAACAGCTCATATAATCAAGGAGGTGGCAGTTAAGTATTTAACATTTACCAAGATAGGACTGACTTTAACGTCTGAAATATCCACTCAACATAAAGACAAACAACATGTCCCATCTGAAATATCCACTCAACATAAAGACAATGACGTAGCAAACAACATGTCCCACATCATGTTCAATATCAACACGAAACTGTCAATCAATAAATGTCACACAAAATCAGTTTGTCAGTAATAAAAACAAAACAAAACAACAACAACAACAAACTCTCAGACACCTTTAGGTTTGTTTGGATGTGGATGTTAAACAGAATAAATCAATAAAACAATCACATGGTAATGATCCTAAGAGTGTGTAACAGGACGATGCACTGACGTGTCAATAATCAGGTCTAAACTCTGAACGGCTGCTCGCTGCTTTCTTCCCCACAATGCATTTCAGCCAAAACCACCTGCACCTGGTCACGTCTATGTGCAAATAAACGTGTTTGTGTCGAGGGCTGTTCCTCCGACCCCTGGTCCTTTCACTCCACCACAGTCTTTTGTGTCTCATACATCCTTCCCACAGCCACCTGCAAAACACAGAACAGTTTGACCTAAAGGTGGCGCCGTTCCATTAAAGAAAACGAATAAAAAGAAAAAGAAAACCATGAAAAAACCCCTGCTTGTGGTCCCCAGCATTATTTTCACCAACAGAACAGGGTGCATAAAACACTGCAACTAGACTGAGTGGAGTGGTTTTAACTGACTATTTTTCAAAATAAAATACCATGCAGAGTAATTAAATTCAAAATAAAACTTCTAATTCACTCCATTGAACCTCTACCAAATGATCCACGACCCTGTGTTTGTGGAGGACATCGTCAAATGAGAACAGAAGCAGAAGATTAGAATAAAAACAACAACAACAACAACAAAAATCTAACAGAACATTTGACATTTGGATGGTTTAGTGAGACTGCACTGTAGGCTGCAGGAGTTCTTAACAGATTCACTCTTAAATTAAAGTGCTTCATACAGCATCAAACCAATAAAACCAAACCAAAATTATAATTCAAGTACTTTACAAATATTTAAGCACCTGTGCTGGGAACTTGTTTTTATGGGCAAACTCTGCTGAGTCACTGGTTTTAAAGCCTAGCTGTGGTTAGGAAAAATAGCTTAGATCTGCAGTAGTCATAGAGTTCTCAATGCAATAAAATGTACTATAAAAAGTTTGAATTAAAAAAAAATATATCTGAAAATGTGTTTGTTTGCAGAGAACCTTCATAGTCGTGTAAAGTCTATATTTGTTCTGACACTACAGAGGTTTGTAGTATGAAGTTTTGTACTGTATGTACAGACTGTGTATCAGTACATGTTTGTGTGTGTCACAGTCCAATATTGATTTTTTGGAACAGCTTGAACAAAAAAAGCAAACATGTGTCTGTGCAGGTACTTTTCTTCTACAATAGTTCACTAGAATTAGTAAATGTCCTAAACACACACACACATACCCACACACACCGTTATATTACTCACCAAAATAATTACTTAAGTCAATAAGACAGTGTTTGTGTTGTCATGCCCCTGCATCACCAGCAGGGGGAGACGTTTGCTCACAAATATTTGTTACTCCACCTTCACTCTGTCCCTTCCTTTTGTTTTTCGATTTTTTTTAAGTGCATGTCGTCTTCATTGGCTGGATTGTGGGGATAAATGAAGGTGGGTGTATTAGGACCAATCAGGTTGGAGGGGGCGTGGCTCTCATGTAAATTGCTGCGGCTGTGGCTGCTAACAAAGAGAAGGCATCTCTCCTTCTGTTCATCTTAATACTTTTTCCTGTTCTCCATTTTTCTTGCGCTGCTCATACACTGATGATGATGTCATGCATCAAATTCAGAGCGTGAAAATGTCACGCCCGCTAGCCGCAAATCAATGCACTCAGAACGGGAGACGTGGTCAAGACGACACGAGCAGACATGAGATCTAAATGATGCTGATGGAGGTCAGGTTTACTGTTGTCAATCAACGGCTGGACTGAGTTCTTTTCAAACTGCTGACCTAGCTATTTTCAGGGTAAACCGAGGCAGAGAAAAACACCCAGAGAGCAGCTGCTGAGCAGCGACACCTTGTCCATGTCAGAGGTCAGAGGAGAACAGGCAGACGGGTTGAAGCTGATGGGAAGACAGCAGTCCCTGTAATGACCCCTCCTCACAACTGAGGCTACAGCAGAGAATGTGTGAACTAACAACAAGTCTAGTCTTGAAGCAGATGGTCCACAGCAGCAGACCACACGACGTTCTTCTACAACCACACACACACACACGACAGTCGTAATGAAACTTCAACTTCATAGTACAATGAGGCTCAATGACCTCAGATGACCTCTTGGCTGAGTGGAAGAAGATGACAAGATGTTACGTTGTACGCTCACTAAAGCAGGGGTGTCAAACATACAGCCCGTGGTTCAGGTCTGGCCCACTTGGATCTTCAGTCTGGCTTATTTGATGAATTTTGGAAATAAGAAAAATACACAATGACTTAATGTTCAGAATATTTTTTGTAAAATTCCATTTCATTAAATATGAATAAATATCTAACATACTTGTATTTCTATGGATGAAAACAAATGGATGAAAACAACTTATTCCATGAACCGAAATAAGTTGGCCACCCCTGCACTGAAGAAGAAAACAAATGGATGAAAACAACTTATTGAACCGAAACCGAACCGAAATAAGTTGGACACTCCTGCACTGAAGAATTTAATTTTTTTTCCTTTTTTTTTTTTTTTACAAATCAAGAGCATTATATTTATTTTTTTCAGAATGATTTTTTTTTGATGATTTTGCTGCCACTGATCTTTATAAACCACTGTTAATCAGACACAAATGTCATGGCTGGTTTCCTTCATGAATAAAAACAATGGTTGGCAGGTTAACTGTGGTGGTGGGCGGCTGGCGTTGGCATTAACACAAGTATAAGTCATTGAGAGCTAAATTCTGAAAGCGTGGGCGTAGGAGGGCGCTGCTAATTCTTCAGAAAAACTCTCCAGAGTCGTGTTCAACCACAATATGAAAAAATCTCAAAAAAATAACAGGAGACAGAAACAATCGAAGCTCAAGAGTCGATGGAAGTGGGAGGAAAGAGATGAAGCGAACGACGCAGGGAAACCCGAGGAGGATCAGTCAGAGGAAAACGAGCAGAGATGAGAATAAAAACACACACACACACACAAAATAAAAACTGAGGGACGAGGATAAAAAGACGAGAGCATTCTGTCAAAGAGAAACTAACGGAGGCCTGTGAAGAGGAGGAGGAGGAATTGGAGGAGAAGAGCAGAGGATGAAAGGAGATCAGGCTCATAATAAACAGAGCAGGAGGAATAAACAAGTCGCAGCTTTTCAGAGACGTATGGTTGGTCTGCAGACTGAAGATTCAGGCGTCTCCACAGTTGGACACTCATTAAACCAGGCCTTTCATGTAGAACCAAACTGATGTTCATTTTCTGCATCCACCCAGGAGGTGGGTGGATGGCAGGTTCCATTCAAGACTAGACTAGATCAAGTGTTGATGACGCACTTGTCATTTATAAGTATTTATAAGCATTTTTAAAAAAAGACATTGGCACGAAAGTTACAGGACCAGAGTGATATTAAAATCTGTATGAAAAGATTCAACAAACAAGAAAATAAATGACTTTTTTTCTCTCTCTCTTTCTCTCACTTGTTTCATCTCAGACTCTTTGGCCTGAAGCTCTGAACCAAACCTCAGTCTCTTCTGTTTCAGACCTTTTATTTCTCCGGAGGATCAAATCAACTCTTTCATGACTCATTCTCACATTTCACATCCATCACACGTCCACTACCAAACTCTGACACCGACTCTGCTCTCCTCACAATCAAGGGATAAAACAGACGTCTGCCGACTAGACAGGGGTTGCCGGTTTGATTCCTGGCTCAAATTTAAAACTGGAATTTCACTCCTAAGATGAACATCAAATGATAATGTTAGACAAATATGTGATATTTATTTTATTTTATTTGACCGTCTAGCTCAGTGTTTCCCAAACTTTTTTTTTCTGGGGACCTATATTTTAAAAGTTTTGCGACCCAAGTCAATAGACATTATCCGTAAACTCCGGGGAAACATGACGCGAGACGACCCAAAGAAAAAAAAAATCTCTTGCGACCCAACAAGGGTCGTGATCCAGTCTTTGAGAAACAATGGTCTAGCTCCTAAGGTGCCGTCTAGAAACATCCTGGCCCTCCAACAAATGGAGTTAGTGACCCCTGTCCTTCAGTTTTAGTAGAGCGTAAACAGAAAAAGGAACAATGTCTCACACATTACTGTGTTTTGGTGTCATCACATGCATGTGCTGTCCTCAACCTCACTGTGTCCCTCTTTGTCCTCCACTTATCTGCTTAATGTGTGAGTGTGTGTTTCCAGTATCTCCTCAGACTTTGACTCATCAATGATTCAGGTAGTGTTCAAGACATCAGGACATCTACATCTCCATGTCTTTGTCTCCTCTGTCTTTTTTTTTACTTTACTGTTTTTCATAAATACTGTAAAGATCCAACAGTTCCTATTGGTTTGTCATTACAATGACATCACAAGAGAGGCTTTGGTAATTTTTCATTTGTCACAAAGACACAAATGAACTGAGTAACCCACTGAGTCTGAGTCTGGGTCTGGTGATGTCAAAACCAATCGAATCAAATCCAGATCAGGTGACACCAAGAAGGTGGAGGTTTTTACAGGTGGGAATTTCTATCGCGGAGAAACATATCTGGAAACCACAGACCTGAGACAGACACACACACATGCACACACACACACACACAGTACTGCAGTCAGACCTCCCTGTTGCCTCGTGTGGGTCTGAGCGCCAGAGATCTTAAAAATGGACCGATGGGACGTCTTCATTTACACAGCAGTCCTACTGTTACTGTGTGTGAGTGTGTGAGAGTGGAGGACACTCCTACTGTTACTGTGTGTGAGTGTGTGTGAGTGGGGGACACTGTCCTTGTCCTTGGATTTCACCCTCACTTGAAACCCACCCACCCCTGGGTGATAAAAGTTAGTATTTCCTGTATTAACTGTTTCAGTGTTTGTTAAACTTGTGTTACATTTTGCAGTTATTTCATCTACTGTAGTAAATGCTGCAAAAAAAAAAACAAACCCAAAAAAACAAACTTTGTCTTAATCTTAGTCTGCCCTAGAAAACACTCCAGTGCAGTTGCGTCATCTTTCAGGTTCTGGGACCAAGTCAGACAAAATTGTGATGAAGTTTAAAAAGCCTCTGCAGCAAACCCAACCCAAGCCCAGGGCGGCCAGGCAGAAGAAAAAGACCAAGGAAACGAAGAAACCAGCTGAACAAAACAGAAGCAAAGGGAGAATAATGACAGAGTCCAACCACAGACGACTGTCTGTGAGCGAGCTCTTCACTCAGACGTTATGAAACAACAGTCCACTTCAGACTAATGGAAGATCCAGCAGCCGCTGCACTGCAGAGACAGAAGCCTCCTCACTGGAGTCGTTTGTTCCAACAGTCGATAGTAATGACTGGAAATGACACGCAATAACAGCCAAAGGCCCGGGCTGTGGTGCTGTATCTGAGGATCCACCAGGGAGACGGTCACTCGGTCTCACTGATGACACCAAGAAAAAGTCATTTCAGCCACTTAACTAAAGACTTGGGGAAAAAAAAACAAACCAAAATCAATGTCAGTGTGAGGCTACTGTAATCATAAGGATGAGCTCTCTGCTTTATCACATCGTTGTACTTATCAAAGGTCCGCTGAGAAAACTGGTGTTTTAACCTCATGCTGGTCAACTGCTGCCTCTTGTGCTCAGTTTGTGTCCCTGATATATCGTTGAGGACCTGACTGCAACATTTTAAAATTAAAAATTGCACAATTAAACTTAGTGATGGAGGCAGCAGTGAATTAACACCTGGTGTGTTGATGTTAAAACAAGCACAAACTACAGCCCGTGGACCACATACGGCCCGCTGGGCTTTCTAAACTTGCCCACCAAACACTGTTTTTTTTTTTCATTCCATTTGACCAGGTTGCGTCTCTGCAGGTGTGATCAGTGACAGCAGCGACCGGTGAAGCATCAATGACGCAGGAGACTCCACTCCAGAAAGGAGTCATCTCTCCTCCCTCTTTGGAGCCGCTGTAAATCTTTTATTCTGTTCCACAGACGTCCTGCTCAGTTATCACTGCTGCTGCCACACCTGACTGACCTACCAGAGCCCTGAACCAACGCACACGTACACACACACATACAGTGAGCTGCAGACACAGACTGTTAAACACAGCAGACCGCTGACATGAATAAAACAGACAGCTTTGTTCCCCACTGACTCCTCTTTCTTCTCTGACTAACTCCACCAAATTTGAGTCTTACTCCATCAACTACTGGACGTCATTTTCTACTTTAATTCTTCTTCATTCCTTAAACCTTTCTTCCTTTTTCATCTCTTCCTCCTTTACCGTCCTTCTCTGTTCAAACATTGATCCAACACCTTCACCCTTTCTCTCCGACTGTTTCACTGTGGCTTCACACACACACACACACACACAAAGTGGTTCCTCCTCCAAAAAACAGAGGAGGCTCTGCAGCTGCAATCCATCATCTCTGCTCCCTAACTTTGCTTTAAAAGGCACACATGCCTCCTCCCTGCCCCCCTCCCCCCCCACATACACACAGTGATGCGCATAGAAAGAATTTAAAGTTTAGATAATGTGTGTGTGTGTGTGTGTGCGTTACCTGTCTCTGAATCACTGCCAGTGTATTCCGTCCCTCCTCCATCAGTCTCTCCAACGTCCTTGGATCCTCTATGTTGCTGTTGGCCCTGAAGGCATCGCGCACTCGCCTTACTGCATATGTCCTGTGACAGAACCACACACACACAGAGAAACAGTTAAATTTCCACCTTTACCCAAATAAACAAACATTTTTATTTTTGGACAAATAGTCCAAAAATAAAGTTCAAACACCGTGACTCATGCATTAAGAGGGGATGTGACACTGTATGATATACAGATATTTGATATTTTAAAAAACAAAATTAACTCCAATCATAAAGTTAATTGTAAAGCAAAGCTTCAAATCTGAATCACGATTAGGATGTTTTTAAACCTCAGTTTAAACGTCTTTGGGAGGCCCCTCTCGTCTTTTGGCCTTGTAACAGACCAAATGAGGACGACGACCTTGAACAGCTGTGTCACTGTCCTGCAAAGCCATTCGTCTTCTCCATCCATCTTTTCTGGGCTCATTTGAGATTTAAGACGCAGCCAGTAAAAGTGTGACATATTATATTTTACAGGGTGTAATGATGGAGGAGTGAAACTGGTTCAGGCTGGTTTTATAGAAATGATAGAGAAAAAAAACATAAGGTGAAAAAGGACGGAAGGAGAAAATGTAATGGACATACAGAGTGGGAGGCAACAGAAGAAGAATGTCGTAAAATAATATAATAGGAGTAAAAGAGGACGTGGTTGAAGGTACATGACAGCAAAGAAGATAAGAGAAGGAGATAAGGAGGAAAGATTTATCTATTTAACATTTCCATATTTATTTGTTAATCAAAAGCTTCTGCCATTTCCTGACGGGTTGACAGCTTTTTTAACACCAGACCACAAAGTGAGGAGAGTTATTTTTAGAAAGGCAGACAGACATAAAGAGGACAAAGAAACAATCAAAGTCACACATTAATAGAGAAAAACAAAAATCATCAATTTGTTCTGTTCGTTGATGTTCAAGTAAAGACAAACAACCAATTTCTGACACTCCTCCTCTTCATCACCACAAACATCTTTGTATCATAAACTGCAGGGATGTACATTCAGCTATAGTCACCGAACCTTCCTGAAAGTGAGGAGGAGGTTTTCTCCAACAAATATGCCGTCTAGATGAAATTCCTCTAATCACATAAAAAGACAGTTGTAATAAAATGACAGATCATAATTTGATGTAACTTTGCAGGAAACTTTTAGAACCTTCAGACCTAAATCATGGCCCTCCTAAATATTCTGCATTTTATCATCTATTAAAAGAAATATACAGTATATATTTTTAAAGATGATTCCATTCTACAGCAAAATTCTTAAAAGAAATTTATTTAGTCCTAAATAAAGTGCCACATAGGAGTCCTGGGCATATTCATCCACCTGAATAAAAACTTATTGATCTGAGAAAATGAACAAAGACAGGAGCCACAGTGAAAGACCCTGGTGCAGCTCCTCCGCTGGTGGGTAATTAAGCCTGTAGGTCGATGTAAAATAATTTAAGGGTGTGATATAAAAACAAACAGGTGCAGCTTCAGCAGATTAAACTCAATGTTAACCCAATATCAGTTGGAGGCTGTTCAAGCTGTGTCAGAGCTGGATATTGATCAGTGGAGTGTGAGCAGCGGTCGAGCAGTAAGAAGGTCACAGACTCTGCACAGCTGCTGAGTTTAGTACACTTAAACATGTACTGACAAAGAGTCTCCGACTAGAATTAAACACCTTGATGTTTATTTACATGAATATTGAAGACAGACACCTAAAAAAACAACTATTTGAAGCAAAGACCTTTCTACACTGTAACAATAAATAATTGAAATAGCTTGGTTGCGTTGTCGGGGACTGTAGAGAAATTATAGGATACAATAAATAATTGAAATAGCTTGGTTGCATTGTCGGGGACTGTAGAGAAATTATGACTTTGAATAGCTACAACATCCTGCTTATGGTAAAATCTCAAAAATCACCACTCAATGACACCTTGCTTACTGTTTGAACGACCCCAAAACTGCTAAAACTATTCTACTTACTGTTTGAACGACCCCAAAACTGCTATACTACCTATATACTATACTAACTATTCTACCTCTTTATTATCATCAGAAATACCAAAGCCAGTAAACCACAGCAGGTACCTTAACTGTGGAAAAATTTACCAGTTTAAACTTCTTTTAAAAATAACTGAAGGGATTACCTTGGTGCAACCATGTTATACTGACGCATGCATTTGTTTACTGCTAAAATGTTGGACATTTAACAGTTTTTATAAATGCCAAACGGTAATTAGGATCGTTTCGTAGTTTAACGTATTCCTGTCATGTACCTATGACATCTGGCCCCAAGCTGGTTGAATTTTTCAATAAAAAAATATCCATATGTTAACAACAGTTAGCTTGCTAAGTTACCACATTTAAACAGATGAGGTTCGATATAAGCAGCAGTGTCAACGCCTTTGAAAACTCATCCAAAGATGACTAGTTGTTTCGTACCTGTAGTTATATGAAGAAAACTTGCTACTTTCTCTCAGCATCGTCCTATACAGAGAAATCACCTGAGCTCGACTGGACGCAGCCATCTTGATGCGTAAGACGCTGCTGCTTCTCCGCCACTGCCGTTTAACATTAGGACCCGTCGAATGGTGTGTTCACGGAGCGCCTATTCAATTACGGTCATTTCACCCTGCGAGGAACTTAAATACATAAATAAAATTGGCGAATAATTCTACCAAAATAAAACATCGTTATTTCATAGACATATTTAACAAAAACAATAACATGAACTACAATTAGACCATTATTTATCATCAGGCAATTGTAAAGACATTCTCACGGACTCCACATTTACAGCACTGAAGAGGGACACAAGGTGAGTTTTCCTTTAAATTGTATTCACTTCTCATTGCAAATATTTTATTTGGACGGCTTAACGATATTTTACAACATCTGACTCACACACAGCGACTAATAACGCGCTCTGTTAGATTGTGTCGTTTTGTCCTCTAAAACAGTGCTAGATCTGTTAGCTTCCATGCTAAAAACACAACTGAATATTTAAAATTGAGCATATTTATATTCAGAATAATCACTGATAAAGGTATGTAAGTGTAGTTATGAGGTTCTGATACAATAATCCAGGGTGACCCAATTGAATACAATGTAAATAGTCATGGAA